AAGACAAATGAGACAGCAGCAAAGATCGCATGTGAACCAGCCTGTCAAAGTGGAAGTGTTTTGCGTGTTCGCAGTCAACGAGGCGGGTGCTTCCGGCAAGAACCATGTGATGTTCATCGCTGGTTTGGGCACACACCTGCCGCTCTGAAACATCGGCCGCCAGCTGCAGCTGGAATGGCCGGCACATGCATCTGGATCCTCCACCAGCAAGTTGCATCCCGATAAGTTGCCTTAGCAACGCATGGACTGTCTGAGTGTGAGGGGCCAGAATGCAGCACAGATAAGCATGATCAAAGCACACATCAGATACATCAGCTAAACGGCCCATCATCAGTTGGTACTCGACCTCCGTGTACGTTGCACAGCTTCTCTCATCTGGCAGGTGGGCTTTCCAGAGGCTCCCCCAAGATCTCCATCCAACCGACGCCTTGTTTTTGGGCACCTGCAGCGTGGCTGAAGACCAGACAGTATGGCTTAGTATGGCTTAGTTCTGCTTGGTTCTGCACATATTCGAACGGCAGCCCGGTGGATATGAGCCAGGCCTTGGCTGTAACACGTTGCGACGTGCTCTGAGGCACTGACGCAGCATCCAGGAAATCCAGAGCAAGCTATAGCAAGCTGGACCAGGGCTTGGAGGCCGGCGATGTAAGCATCAGCCGTTGGTCCATGCACGTGGCCACAGGATTCGTAGCTCTCGAGCCCACCTCGGAAGGCGAAAACGACTAGTGCTGGCCGCAGCCATCCGCAGCCACTCACAAGACTCACAAGTACCTCGCCGCATTTCGCCACTGCGACGGAGGAGCTAGTAGCAAGCTTCCAAGCTTCACAGAACTGCAGGAAGAGGTCGGTGTAGTACACAGTCTCCTCAAATCTCACGTACGGAGGGAGGCAGAGGTGCAATGCATTGAGATTAGCTGTGGTGCGAAGCTGTCATGGTGGAAGGCCAGCTGGACGCCGAAGAGTTTCTCAGCCTCCTCAACTTCCTGTAGAGATCGCTGACACCCGTGAATGATACNNCCTAGCCCTAGCCCTAGCCCTGCGGACCTCATGCGCCACTAATTTTTCCATGAAATTTCCGATGCAACGTTGAGACCCAGAAACCGCCATGCGCCCAGTAGCCTTTAACCGATTGGAGCTGGCCTTGCCATACGCAACAACCAA